TTGGACAGCTCAATTTTGTGCTTCACGGACGCGATGGACCTGTCGCGTTCGCGAAGAAGAAAAGTTTGGACAGAATGTTTAAGTTCTGAAAATGGGACGAACCATTTTTACCGATTTGGAGCTCGGGAGAGGCGATTTTCGGGAGATTTTCAAGAAAAATATCGAGGTAAATGTTCTTAACTCAATTTTAATTAAAGTACCCGAATTTATGGTAGTTTTTAACACTTAATTGGTGGATTAAGTTGAAAAAATTGTGAAAATCCCTAAGTTTAGATTGAAGATTTGAGGGTCGAGTTAATATCGGAATTTAGTAATTTTGATATGGTTGGACTCATGGTTGAATGGCATTCATATTTTATAATTTTGTCGGATTCCGGGACGTGGCCCCACAGGCGGTTTTTGAGTTAAATTTCGGATTTTATTGAAAAATTAGTATTTTCATATGGAATTAATTTCAATAATTTGTATTGATTGAATCGAATTAGTTATGACTAGATACGAGGCTTTCGGAGGCCAATTCACAAGGCAAAGGCATAGCGAAGTAAAGAATTATACAGTTCGAGGTAAGTGACTTGTCTAACCTTGTGTGGGAAAAATTTCCCTTAGGATTGGTATTGATATGATAATTGTGATGTGTTGAAAGTCGTGTACCCGATGTGACGAGTGTGTACACATGCTAAATGTGAAAAAGTCAGGTTTTTTTAATTTGTGTATATATCTGTTACACATTTATTAAATTATTTTATCCGGTTATATTCATCATCATTAATCTATTTTTATATTTTAGATTTGGGTGATATTTTTTCTACTAATTATTTTACTTGTTTAGTTGAAACTTTATTTCTTTTATTCTGTGCCCATCATTTGAAAGTTGAATTTCTTAATTGAATTATTATTAATATGAAATATTTGACATTAAAATTTTGGTATTGAGGAAAGGTGTTAAATTTGTGAAATATTATTTTTGTTGAGTTATTCAATTCCGAATATTTTGTGAGATTTTGTATTCATTGTGATTGAGTCTTGAGCTCCTTATTGTGAAAATAATATTGTTGTTGATTTATTTTGGCAAGTTAAAATATTTGAGCACTTGATGTGCAAATTATGATATATTGTGATATTGATACGCATGCGGTGGTATAAGGTCTGGGTGTTGAAACGCATGCAGTGAGATAAGGGTGGCTTGATACGCGTGACTAGTAAGGGGAACTACTAGAAGTCATGCGGTGTGATAAGGGTGGCTAAAACGCGGGATGCTATTTCGGAAAAAATATTTGTCTTTAAAATTAAATGCGAAGGCTCCCGCGGTGATATAAGAAAATGAGATATTGTGAATTTATTTACGATTTGGGATTACGAGGTGGTACCTCGGGAGTGCCCTCATTGATATTTCTTTATGGCTGTATTTGCGTTGGGTTATTTTGTGTTTTTCTTAAAATTGTAAATTTTCGATTTCCTTCTGTGAGGTATTATTTGCCCTTATTCTGTGTAGTTAAATTGTGACATACTACTTACTTGAATCATCCCCATTGTCATTATTATTATTATATTGTTAAACTTTTCACCCTGTCTTTTATTATTCCAGTAGGGTCTGACCTGACCTCGTCACTACTTTACCGAGGTTAGGCTTGACACTTGCTGGGTACCGTTGTGGTGTACTCATACTACGCTTCTGCACATCTTTTTGTACAGATCCAGGTACTTCCTATCAGACCAGGCACGAGTGAACTATCCATACACAGAGACTTCAAGGTATATTTGCCAGCGTCCGCAGACCTCAGAGTCCCCTTCTATCCTTATTATGTTGTTTTCCTTATTCTCTTTAGACTCTGATGTATATAGACACTTAAAACGAATTCTTAGAAATTTGTGTCTTATTTCTACCGGGTTTTGGGAGTTGTGACTATTTGAATCGCGGTTTGATTTTTTTTAAATGTTGAGATTTGGGTTTCAGTTTTGTATTCCGCATAATTGATAGGCTTACCTAGTCTTCGAGACTAGGTGCCATCACGACATCCTACAGAGGGAAATTAGGGTCGTGGCATTTGGGTTTGTGTGAATTTTTAGAAGAATAATTAAATTGTTGAAGAAAATAGAGTCTAGAAAATGTTGGGTATTTAAGGAGGGGGAGAGCAATGAAACATGGGGACTTAGGGGAAGGGGGCGAGGAGAGTAGCATAAAAAATATTTTTTACTCTCAAACCAAATACTAAAAAATATTTTTCGGAAATAAGTTTTCCGCTCACCAACCAAACAAGGGAAAATAGGTGATAAAATCACTCATTTTCTATGAAAATATTTTATAGGAAAACATTTTCCATGAAAAATATTTTCCTTCGTACCAAACACATCCTTAGTGTTATGAATTTTTGAGCTGTTAATTTGAAATCCAGAAAATAAGATTCGAACTTCTGGACTCAATTTTCGAACTTTATGATACGATGTTCTGAAATTCAAACATTGAGGTTTAAACTCTAGGACACTGTGTCCTGAAGTTTGAGCAAAATTGAATAATCTTTAAATACATTGTAAAATGTGAAAATATTTTAAAAAATGATTAAAAGTGGCTACCTGGTGTTATTTCCACTTGGGCTGCATGCGACCGCTTCAGGAAGGGCACATGGGTTATTCCTATGAATGTTTGGGCCCAACTAGTAAAATATAACTTTTAATTTTTTGGGGATTTGCATCTATACCCAGTTTGGGTCATATTTTAACCTATACCCGTTTTGCAAAAAAAATTACAAGCATACCCACTTTTCGGGTAACTTAAGGCATACGGGCCTGAAGTAGTAAAAATTTATGTCTGAAGTTTGAACTTCAGAATTTTTTGCTTGAAGTGTAGCCTTATCAAAGCAAAACTTCAAATATTTTTGCCTGAAGTTTGGCCTGACTTGCAAAGGCAATCATGCAAACTTCAGTTCATAGTGCAAGGGAAAACTTTAGTTTCCCCTCACTTAATAGTGCAGACTTTAGACAAATTAGTCTGAAGTTCTTCAATTTATAGTGCAAACTTCAGGAACTTCAGTTCATAGTGCAAGGGCAAACTTCAGTTTTCCCTAACTTCATAGTGCAAATTTCAGACAAATTAGTCTGAAGTTCTTCAATTTATAGTGCAAACTTCAGGAACTTCAGTTCATAGTGCAAGGGCAAACTTCAGTTTTCCCTAACTTCATAGTGCAAATTTCAGACAAATTAGTCTGAAGTTTTTTAATTTGTAGTACAAACTTCAAGAACTTTAGTTCATAGTGCAAGGGCAAACTTCAGTTTTTCCTCACTTCATAGTGCAAACTTTAGACAAATTAGTTTGAAGTTCTTCAATTTGTAGTGCAAACTTCAGAAACTTCAGTTCATAGTGCAAGGGCAAACTTCAGTTCCCCTCACTTCATAGTGCAAATTTCAGACAAATTAGTCTGAAATTCTTTAATTTGTAGTGCAAACTTCAGGACAAATTAACTTTTCAGTATAACTAAGAGCTGGTTTGGCATCATATCGAGCTTTACCTCATGGGGAATTCTTCATGTTCTTCATACTGGATTTGGAACTTTTGTATATTCAGTATGAGATAAATATATAACAAGATGAACTAGAGAGTATCTGTTGCGCTCTCGATGCATTTGGATTTGTATCTTGAGTTTGCAAAATAAAGGATTGTAAAATTTGCAGAAGCTCACGTTTTACCTTCTGTTGATAGGGTTTATGAATTCAAATAGAGAACAATAACAATACTCTATTTTGTTATTTTATGACAGTATTTGATCAAACGTAGGTTAAGTTATTAATTTGACTTCACACTTTATTAGTAAATATATTAAAGTAGTGGTTGAAAAGTTAATTTGATAGACAAGAAGATGAGGAAGAAAGGAACGCATATGTAGGAGGAAGAAGATGAGGCGTGTGAAGTTGTTAAAATTAGGGTATAGATTAAATAATTTTAAAAATATGGGTATAGGTTAAATGGGGGCGACCAAATAGGGCGCCCCGGTGTAATTTTTACTTAATTTTCAAATAACCTTTCTTACCATGAAAGAAAAAATATTTTTAATTTCAACTTCAAATACCTTTTATTTTTTAAAAATTTTCTAACCAAACCACGTTCAAATCGCCCCTAAAAGTCTACTAGTATTACTTGGTAAGATTGAGGCGTCTAGCCTTAAGTTTTTTTCCAAAAAAAATTTCAAATATGTATTTATTTATAGAATTAATCTAGTTTTTAAGAGATTTTGAAAATCGAAACTTCAAATCCCAAATATAAACTTCTTTTTGGGTTAAATCATGATCATTTGAGAGTTTTTAGCTAAAAAAAAAAGGATTTTTAACATGTTAAAACTTGCTCCAAAATTCTTATCAAAACATATTTGCAATTTCACATCAAACTTAACCCAAATCAATTTTTTTCAAAAAATATTTGGGAATATATGTCCAAACGTGTCCTTAGTTTTCGATATCCTGAGCTAGCTAACTTTGATAATAGGAAAAAAGTAGAAAAAATGTAATTACAAAATCGAATCAAACGAAAAATTGAAACTGAAAAATCAACTAGTCTGATTTGGTTGGTTTTTCGATTTTAATAATAAAATGCTTAGCACTAGTTCTAACATATTTAAGATCAATAGTATCAATTTTTTTTTTATTTTATTCAGTCAAATATGTTTATATAAAATAAAAGGAAGAAAAAATTAGTACATATTTAGAGCCCGTTTGGACATAAATTTTTTATTTATTTATTTTCGAAATTTTTTCATTTTTTTCTAAATCAGTGTTTGGCCATAAAATTTTTAATTTTTTCAAAAATTTAAAAAGCTTCAAAAAATTATTTTTCAAAATTTTCACTCAAATAACTCACAAAACTTCAAAAACAATCCAAAATCATATTCATATCCAAACGCAACTCTAATTTTCAAATATCATTTTCACTTAAAAAAAAATTTGGCTCTTGTTTTGTAATTTTACCCTTCTTTAGTCCTAACGCCCACTTTAGTTCAAAAAGTGAAGTTTAATTAGCCCTTTGTCCGTTCGTTATTGGACAGCCACCGGCATTTACTGTCTATGTAGGGTTTGGATTTAGCTTGCTACTCCAATATTCATTCCAAGAGTCAAAGCTTGACACTCTCCCGCGCCGCCCCCAAATCCCAACATCTCTTTTCAGCCAAGGTTAGTCTTATGAGTCGCATTCTCTTTTTCCCAAATCCAACTTCTTTTATTCTTCTATTTTGTAAGTATTTAGAAGGCCTTGTAATTTTAGATTTTTTGCTGCTTTATCTGTTTTGTACGTTTCACTCTCTCTTAAAACATGTTCTACGCTTCCTTTTACAATTTAAGCTGCTGAAACATTAAGCTTACAGTACTCGAATATAGTCTGATATCTCTTTACAAAAAGCAAATGATGGATGTAGTTTGACAGTTTCAACATTTCAACACTATATTTTATGTGATTGCTAAATCTTGGTAATTTGATTTCGTTTTTATTGTTTGGATTACTCATAAAAACCTAGGCTTTTTTATTGAAATATTGTAATTTTAGTCTGTTTTGTTTGTGTAATGCTTCTCTGTATGCCCACATCTGTCAGATGCACCATTTATATCGCTGTTCATATTAATATCAGGATAACAGATATTCAGGTTCTAATCTATTCTTCTTACGTAGTAGACTGATTTTATTAGTTGTAGATGTTTATTTCAAAATGCTTATATTTTATTCTTACAACAGCTTTTTAAATTATATGAACTACAAATATGGAAAAAAAATTAACTTTTGGTGTAGCACCTTATTGAAACCTTGTTTTCCTGCATTGGCTGTTTCTATTGTTGCAGCTAGCAGGTTTGTGTATTTCTTGTTTGTGTATGAGACCTTATAATTAAATGTTGGAGTAATTCAGTACTTAAAAAAGAAGTATTAAAGTAGTTTGGAGGGCAAACATTGGGATGAAAAATTTGACTTGTCTACCGGAAACAGCCTCTCTGCCTTTTCAGGGGTAAATTGTGGGACCACACTGGGTATGTTGTTGTTGTTATCTCCAAAGTAAAAAAAAGAAGAA